ACGTGGCCGTACATACCTCCAACCACGTAAATCGCGGTCTCCAGAAACGTCCGTAGGGCTACGTTTCCAGAATAAGCTTGGGTTGGTTTGATTAGAGTTGGATCTAGAGGACACCGGCCCTCCAGGAACAAGTTTGGTGACCACTGGTTTAGACAGTAGGGCTTCATCTGTTTTTAGCCCGTGTGACTGAGCTCTTCTTGTTGTGTTTGGCTGTATTGAGATCAGCATTGCTCAGTTTAGGTCACAGTCTCTAAAGCTGCGCAGGATTGTGCTTTTGCTCTCTTGCGATGGCGTATTTCTGCAACAGCTGTTGCTTTCTTTTTTTGGATAATGGGATCATCTTAGATTATACTCTAAAAATAACTGGCATTTTAGCCAAAAGACTTCATTTTGCGTGCTGAGGCCAGCATCGGTAATGCCAGCCTGATCCCACGAGGAAACAAACTATTTTACATTTAGTCAGTTAAGAGGCTAATTCATGTGAATTTGTATGAGTTCAGTCGTATGAAAATGTCTGATTTTAAAACTGAGGCGTGGCACACAACCCCGCCACCCTAAACCCTACCATCACCGGGGGATGAGCAAATTGATCGAGTCATATTTAGAGAAAAGTTACACATTTCAGGAATGATCTAAGAATTTGTGTCCCCAATCTGTTAAGGGAGGCGATGTATAAAGGCTGATTTATACTTCTGCGTCAAACGCCGGCGTATGCTACTGCGCTGACGCATAGCCCTTCGCTGTGGCCGTCGGCGTCGCTGATGTGCACCTCTCAAAAATTGTAACTACACGTCGCAACGATGCGTAGCACAAGCTCTGTGATTGGTCGGCTTGGTAGCGCTGACGAGTCTGGGCGGGACCGAGAGCCACGCGAGCTGGACGCGAGCCCAATGGAGCGATTGTTTACAAGTGTGGAGTCCCGTGAAGGAGCTCCTGATGGAAAGTTTTGTTTTGTGTTTACCTCATAGTTTAAGTTGTTGCACGTCCGCCGGTTCCTGCCTCAAAATGAGCGAGTTTGAGCCACTTGTACATCCAGGAAGTGTTCAGGAAAAGCAAAACAGCAGAGAAGAAACTCGACACAGAGAAACATTTACACCTCACTGCCCACTAGCGTTTAGGAAGTGTTAATGCAGACCGACAGAGACAGCGCGCAGAAGTATAAATGCACAGCTAAGCGCGTTGCATGCACTGTGGGTTACGACGGTCACTTGACTCAGAAGTATAAACCAGGCTTTATAGTCCACAAGGGTCTGATTTATCAGATGTGTGTAGAAACTTTCCTGAAAGTGAACGTATGGCAGAATAAATTAGACTTTATTTATTATTGATTATGGCTTATATGATGATTTAAAGCGTTTTAAATCAGTCAATATTGAAGTTAAATATGTTTATTTAGAGTTTACATGCAGGAGCTCACATTCTCGCGTTAAGTTTTGTGAATCGTTGTTTGCATGGGAATAATAACATTCATTCATTCATTCATACAGTTTTTTTTCAGCTTAGTTTCTTTATTAATATGGGGTCGCCACAGCGGAATGAAACTTATCCAGCATATGTTTTACGCAGCGGATGCCCTTCCAACTGCAACGCATCACTGGGAAACATCCATACACACTCATCCACACACACACACACACTCTCATACACTACGGGCAATTTAGCTTACTCACTTCCCCTGTAGCACATGTATTTGGACTTGTGCCAAGACGGCACCTGACTAAAGTCTTGTCGGCTATACAAAATTTAGGAACAACAAATAATAACGTGACTTCTAGTTGATCATTTGGTATCAGAAGTGGCTTATATGAAAGGCAAAGGCCTCTAGATTACACTTATTTGACCAAATTAAAGTATGATCATGCCTTGATGTTGAATGATTTAATTAGGACAGTAAGGTCTGACTCTGCTTAGACAAAAATCTTCTGTAGTGAATGTTTCGTGACTAAACGCGTGCCTGTATTTACACAATCATGACGTTCGGCCTGGAGCCGCGTGTTTCACAGTGTTCTGTGTTGTTTTTATTCACATGCAGCCAGGAGCTATGGCAGACGACGAGGTAAAATACGGATCTTTGAGCTCTCTGTGTTCGCATGGTCACATTCTGTGTGTTTGTGTACTGTGTATATGTGTGCAAGCTGCTCTTTGGGTATTCATTGACCATTAGCAAGCCCTTCAGTTAAACAACTGTGCTCCACTTTGAGTTGTGCTGCCTGTCAGGGTTTATTCTGCGATAACAACCTCCTGAATGTACTTTATCCCAAAATGAACATACCTAGGAATGTTGTGACGACCAATCAGAATCAAGTATTAATAAATACTAATAAATGTAATAAATATTTAGCATAAAGAATAAAGTACAAGTAGTGGATTTGTTTTGAATTGATTTCCACAGAACTGTCAATTTTAAGCATTGTATTCAACAGGGACCTATTATGCAGAAATCACTTTTATAAGGGGTTTAAACACAGTTGTGTGTCAGCAGTGTGTAAATATAACCAGCTGATAATAGTCAAACTTCATTTATTCTCCCTTTTATTATCAGACTTGATGTAAACAGTCTGCAGAAACACTTTGATTGACATTCTCCCTTTGTACGTGTCATCAGAAGGGGAAAAGCCCCGCCCACTAGTGACCATCTCTCCCTCGTTGTTTTTGAATCTGCCACTATGCTGACACACAGGCATTTGTAGCTCCGCCCTCTTCTAAAAAAAAAGCACAATCTCATTTGAATTTAAAGCGACAGTCACCAAAACACCACAATTAGGATTAAAGCTTAAAACATTTAAGAGTTATTAAAGACACATCTGTGTGGTAATTTGAGCTGAAACTTCACACACACACACACATTCTAGGGACTATTCACTGTAGGGTTGTTCTCTGATCAGATGTGGTCTGTTTTTTCCTGCAGGACGCTCTTCACTCTTTCCCATTGATGACGGTTTACTGGATGATGGTCATGGGAATCAGGGCGTCCCGGGTGTGTTGGGCTCGCCTCACTGTTACCCGCACCAGAACGGCGAGCGCATCGAGAGGTTTTCCCGAAAAGTGTTTGTGGGCGGCCTGCCTCCCGACATTGACGAAGGTTTGTTTCTGACGCCACTTCTAGTCTTGGGATTGAAATTATGAGTGTGTCTTTAAATGTTTTTTTTTTGGTCCCACTTTATATTAAGTGGCCTTAACTAATATGTACTTACATAGGAATTAATAGTTTGCTACAAAGTACTTAATGTGTAAAAACATGTATTTACTGTGTACTACTGCTTGATTAAATACATGTATGTAATTACATCTGTAATTAACTTTGGTAATTACATTTGTAAATACACTGTTGACCATCCCTTACACCTTAACCCACCCTTAAACCTACCCATACCACCAAACCTGTCCATAACCCAACCTCTATCCCAACTCAAAAGCACCACAAGTGTTCTCAAACACATTATAAACACAGTAAATACATTGTATTTAATTTTTGATGTAAGTACATAGTAGTTAAGGACACTTAATATAAAGTGGGACCTTTTTTTTATCGATTTTAATCATTTAAAGTACATCTTAATACATGATTAACAAACTTGCATTATAATTATACACCCCAAAAATATAGCTTTTTATATAGGTGAAACTGTAGCCCTACACAATAACACAATAACAATAATAACACATAATTATAATAACAATAATAATATAATATACAATTTAAACCCAAATTGGGTAAAATATGGACTAAGCCTGTCACAGAGACAAACTCAGTGATTCCCTCCTAGGACCAGCAGAGTGTTACTTTTTATTTCATATATTTAGGTTTTAGTTATGATTCTCCCAAAATCATTCTGCATAAATCCACAGATTTTTAGCAAAATTCTGCACAGAAATAGCAAAAAACGTCCGATTCTGTCTGGCCCTGGTGTGGGGTGTGAATGTATGTTTCCCAGAGATGGGTTGCAGCTGGAAGGGCATTTGCTGCATAAAATATATGCTGGATAAGTTGGTTGTTCATTCAGCTGTGGTGACGCCGGATTAATAAAGGGACTAAGCTGAAAAGAAAATTGAATGAATGAACTCAACTGGTCCGACTTTATATTAAGTGACCTTAACTAATATGTTCTTACACAGGAATTAATAGTTTGTTACAATGTACTTATTGTGTAAATACATGTATTTACTGTGTACTTATGCTTGATTAAATACCTGTAGTTACATCTGTAATTAACTTTTGTAATTACATTTGTAAATACACTGTTGACCATCCCTTACACTTTAACCCACCCTTAAACCTACCCACACCACCAAACCTGTCCATAACCCCACCTCTATCCCAACTTAAAAGCACCACAAGTGTTCTCAAATACATTATAAACACAATAAATACACTGTATTTGTATTTATTCCATACAGGTATCGTAAAATAAAAAATAAAAAATAGATGTTAGATACTTCAGAACAGTGACAACATTTGCATTTAGACAATATAAAACTGATATAAACACCCAAAGCATGCAGTTTGTCACTTTCTCTTGCCTAAATGTATCAACAAATTTTTTGACATCACCTCATACTTCAGTTTCTCATCAAATCTTTTGACCAATCAGATGTTCTCTAGTATCCAACATGCCCCGCCTCCTTTTTCCTTTTAATTTGATGCGCTTGAGCTCAACCACTCTTACTGGCAGAGCTGTGAGAAAAACAAAACACTATTGGCTGTTTAGAGGGGAGGAGCTACCCTATGCCCCGCCCTCTCTTCATGTTTCAGTTGAGATTAGGTCAAACTATGAATAAAAATGCACATCTCAAAGCACTTCACAGAACCTTTTTTATCTATATTATATGAAGCATCTTACCTCCTCATTGCTGGTATTGACAGAGATTTTACCAATAGTATCTGGATGCAGCCTTTATGATGCAAGCTGAGATTGCATCACTCAGCCATGCAATGTCAGACACAATGCAATCAAATGGAGGTAGTGACGTTACTGTGATGGGTAGGGTTAGGTGAGCCCATTAAAAAAGCATTGGATGCAGCTCAGATTGCACTGCACCAGGTCTGCATCCAGACCCATCTTTTACTGACAAGCTTTCTAAAATACCTCCAGCAACAGTAAAAAGACACTATTTTACCTAAAGCTTTTTTCTCTGGTGTGTTTAGCGTGAATGTCTCACAATGTTAGTACATTCATTCCCATCTTTCCGAATGAAATGCCTATGTTACCACATCCAATCAGCTTGCAGTAGAAAAAAACAAGCCACACCCACTTTTTGCTCATTTAATATTCATTTTCTCTTAAAATTGTGTCATGATATGAATAAAAATTGGCTGCAGCTACCAGTTCATGCTGACTTTAAATTACCGCATTACAGTAAAAAGTGATATACTATTGTAATCATTACTTTTGTAATGGGTTACTCCCAACACTGGCTTTGCTTAGTGACCAGGGCTAAACAGAAGCTGAAGAAGTGTGTTTTTCACCTGCTGACTGACATGAAAGAAACATTTCAATGCCAGCCACTGCACTAGCAACGAAATGGAACAGGCTTTTAATTTAATTAATACATATTAAACCTCTTTAACATTATTAATAGGCTGCTGTTAGAGTTTTAAACCATCTGCTAGTTATTTTTGCTTTCCAGATCTGAGATGAACTATTTGCTTTCAGTAGTATAGCAATAAATGTCATTTAAAATAGTGTTTTTATGATTTTAGCACTGAATAAATCCCATAATGAGGTGATCATGGTCACTGTAGTTTATGCTGTTGTTTTAACAGATAGAAACAGTTTCTATTATAGAAATGTCACGCATCGCTGATGCTCAAATAGCACAAAAACTCCCTTTAAGATGGAAAAGATAGCTTTTATCACGTGTCACGTGTATTTAGGACACAGTGTGATGGTCCAGCATGATAAAGCTGTGTGTTTCTCTGCTCTTTGTCTGATTTCTCTCTCTCTTTTCTTTCACACAGATGAAATCACAAGCAGTTTTCGGCGCTTCGGGCACTTGGTGGTTGATTGGCCTCACAAAGCAGAGAGCAAGTCTTACTTCCCCCCTAAAGGTACGACTAGAAAAACAGCACATTTACAGCTGACAGAAATACAGAGCTGGTGCAGAGATGAGTCATTTACATTTACACTACCAGTCAAAATTTGGGGTCAGGTTTTTATTTTATTTTATTTTTTTATATTTATTTAATAAAAAAAAATATATAAATATAAAAAAAAAAAAAAAAATATATATATATATATATATATATATATATATATATATATATATATATATATATATATA